CGACCAAGGAACGGATTGGTATGGAACATACATTCCACAAAAAGTTGTGATACTTACTCTTGCCAATGGTTTTCCACCGCTTGCAACACATGTCATGGTAAGACTAGCGCCTTCTGCATACGCAGTCGTTATTCCGTTTTTCACTGGACCCCAGTCGTCACTTACTTGAACGTTTGTTGGTGGCACTGAAAAAAATACAGTTTGTATCAGACGAGTCGGAAAACACCTCCTGATTTAAGTCAGATTGCAATCCATAGGTCGTTTATTAGGAGGCGCCTTTGAAGTAATGGATTTAATGAATTTGTGAAGTGTCTATCAAGCTAGAGAACAATTAAACAATTTGTGTAAGATGGTCTCGTAATCCTCATATTAAATCAAGTAATAATAGTACTAATTTATTCGTGCCAAATACACAGATGTGCTTACATACGTATTTCAAGTCATTAGATACATTTAAAAATAGTAGTCCTATATACAAGGTGCCAATTGAGTACGTATCATAAATTTAACAGACGATTCTTTGAGCAATTTTGAGACAAAAGGCTCATATAAACATAGGTCCGCAAATTCGTTCTCAAGATACAAGATTTTGAAGTCAAAATTTCAAATATCTTAAATCTCTTTTACCTAATTTTGTTGTACCTAATTCAGCGGTGGTATTTGCAACACTAAGGAGCTAATTTAGCCTTAACTTGATTAAATTATCCAGTGGCGTATCTAGCGGAATCTGAACGAATATTTATGCCAACAAAATGCACTGACTTCAGTGCAATTTTTATTATGATTTTTGAATTAAGCAAACAGAAATACAACTTTATTATTTCTTGACTTTCTATATCTTGCTTAGTTTTCGAGAAAAAAAGTCCACTTAATTACATATCCCTGAACAACACAAGGAATGTGGGAAAGTTTCTTTTGGAAACTATTATTATTTTTATTACTATATTTATTACTATGTAACAACAAGAACAAATACTAACATCTAGACTAACAAATTTCACTAAATTAAGTGTTTTTTTTTTGTCACAAGTATTTGTTCAGATCGATACGCCACGGGACTTAATAATTTTAGTGAAGTTAGGGCTGAAGTAGCTTCTTAATGTTACAAATATTACCGCCAAATCACAACAAAATAAGTTGAAGTATATTTAAAAAAAATACGAATAGAATGTTTTCTATGTTCCTAGACAGGATACATATGTTTAAATCACAAAATGAAATAAAAGAGTGTAATAGTATAGATGGATGTACACTAGATAAGGATAAAGAAAGACAAAAATGAGACAAATACAGCAAAAAATCGTAACAGCCATATAACCATAATGCTAAAATTATTATAAGATATAAAATGCTTTTTATACCAAGTAGGTTTTCACAGCATGCTTAAAATTATTTCATTTATCATTTTACAACTGACAAGTCATCTGGAGCAAATTAAAAAGAAGTAATATATTATAATTGGCTCCGTATCTAGTACTTGAAAGTCACGTATATTCTGGAACTATCACTGTGAGTTCTGGTGTCATATCTGCGAGTTTTTCCTGGTGTGGTATACTCAGCCTGGTGCTTCTTAACACTCCAAATATCACACGACGAGTCAGCTACAAAATCCTATTTCTTGTTTGTGTTCGAACGCAAAAGTTGGCGCAAATTCCACCAATTAAAGAGAAGGATTTGTGGTCTACTCGGAACATGGATCAAACCTGATACAATAGATTGGTATAAAGTCATCACAGACCCTCTTATTGAAAATAACAGTCTCTCACTGTTGCTGTACAAAATTCCGCTTAATAAATTCTTTGAAGAGTTTAATAAAAAAAAAATTATAGAGCCATGTCGCGCACCCTACTGAACGGTAGGACGACTACGCGATTGTGCCGCGGCGCGGTGGCGGTGGCGGTATTAAGGCTAGAAGTAGTGGTCCTGCTGACCAGCAGAGGGCTCGGGAGCTTCCTGTCAACAGGGCTGGCTTATGATACAGGGTTTCTCGCATGGTAGTCAAGTAAACTCAATATTTACTCGATGCTTGTTTAAGAATAAGCTTTCTGTAATTTTATTTGTCTTCAAAGAATTTATCAAGCAGAATTTCTTACAGCAATAGTGAGCCACTGTTATTGTCAATAAAATGCCCATAGAATTGCTGTCATATCAATCTAGATATTGTAGCAGATTTGTGTCCATGTTTGTGTATGACGCTTCTTTTTCATTGGTGCATTTTATGACCATGACTACGGTTATTGCCATGATACTGTATATTATATATTGTGTTCTTAAATTTAGCCAAAAGTTTTTATTTTCTCTGACACTGCGGGTAAAGGTAATATAAAAAAACGATTTGAATTTGTACGGGAATTAAAAAAGTTTTGATAGGAAGAAGAAACATTGATGGTATAATGTTCATTTGATTCTAAAGCTTCAACCACAATACATATTGACGTGAATAAACAGAGAAAATGTGATTCTTGGTAATGAAAATAACTCTGATCGGCAACTGGAATCACGCTACAACGTAACTCAATATTGGCGTAATGGAACATCAGTTTGATTTACCTTGTACAACAAGCCAAACCGTGGCTACTCGTATACTCAATAAGCCAGATATCTAAATTGAAGCCAGTGAGTTTAAGCAGGAGTTATGAGTTTCCGAATTTGACCAAAATTTTGTTTGTTGCGCTTATTTTGTACCTGAATGTAATATCGGACAAAACTGCACATTACCCATTTTTTTTTATTAACCTACCTATGAATGTATCAATCATAATAAGCTTCGACTCTCTTTAAACGAAAACCATTTAAATGCTGGAACTTTATATAAAAGTAAAAACATAAATAAAATTTGACATCCGCTATATTGCAAATATCGCGTTTTCGCTTCATATCCACAGGATCTATTTATTTTCGGGTCACATTCTATCTATATATTGTTTATGTAATGAATTCAGTCACCAGAAACGGCATGGTAGATACAGAACTGTGTGAATATCCGCCTTTGCAATATATTTGAATTATAATTGCTACTGGCACAGGACCGCTTTGAACAAATTTACTATTGAAAGGTAAATAATTGATAGTACCTATATGCTACAACGGTTAAAATGAAAATATGGTTTGCCAGACAGAAAATTGCGGATCTTTACGAAAATCTTGTGTTGAGGCAGCATTGAATACTTATTGTCCAGAAATCGATGTTTTTAAATAATCTTATTCAAAAAGGATTTCTTTCAACAATTTCACCTTAACCAGTTTTTTTAACAAATCCCGAATTGTAAAAATCGTAAGTATTCCTTAAAGACCCATTAATAACATCCTGAGGTAGGGTACTGATACTGTAAGCATTTGTTTTTTAATTGGTACTCAAGTGCGCATTCAATGTACAGAGAGCCAGATGCGGTGAGGCAGAGATACCTAAGCTACTATTTACACTTGGGAATAATGGAATATCACATAATGTCACTCTGACGGTGTTAAATATACTGTATAAAAGTCATCCCGTTACGGAACTGGATGACTTTTCTAAATATTTGGATGTGTTTAATGTCCCAAAATTAAATACACGACCGACGTTATTTGCGCCTATTCACTGTGTTTGAGCTTTCAGTTGACTTGTGTCACACCGTTTACAGCTAATTTTCCAATGAATGGTAGTTTGCTGTGATATACAGTTAGTGTTGATTTCAGGAGGGTTGATCAAAGGTTTTTTATGGTCCGGTACCTCGGGTTCACCACAACAAAGGCTACAGCTATATAAGCATAATAAAATAACCTAATACCGGAAGTTTCAAATTCAGCCGTCACCATTGGGATCTCGTAAACGGTAAGAGATACGAAGTCGATTAACAGGGGACAAAAATACGTATATAGGCAACCAACTTTAAAAAGTTCGAAATTTTAGGTACTTCCGGAGAGATACAGGAAAAACAGAATATTCCGAAATCGTTCTATGTCTTTCTGTCTTTATTTGTAGTAGGATTTTGAAATAAATTGCACATTAACAGTGTTACTTTTTATCCTTTACAAGATGGCATAATTTGAATTTCAGTACGACCTTTCTTCGCTTGTCCTCCAGCATCAACGCTATTTCTTTTTATATATTTTTAATTTTGATTTCAAAAATCTATAATATGTCATTCATTGACATTGCCAAACCTTAGTTATTCTTGAAAAACAGAAGTTCCTAGGTGAGTCATTTGCTTTGTATATCAGACCAGACCTCAAATTGAACATAGTAGAGTAGTTTCGGGTAATATGGAATACCATTTTCATTTCTCTCAGTAACTGAAAAAATAATACACCTTTTCTTCTGAAAATTTGTTGAAACACATACGATGTTACCTAACAATTGCTTACCACCAGATCAACTGAAGCAAACCTCATTTTTGTGTAGAGAAAAATACTTTCCAATTAGTTATTTTTATCTGTCAAACAAAAGAGAAGTATAATATGGAATAGGTATATGGGGTAATATGGAATAGGGTAAATCATACGAAAAATAAGAAAAAACAAGTTTAATTCTTCACGTTAGGTAATTTAACAAATATAAAACAAATTAGATAGACCTTAATTTTATTTGCAAAAATCGCAAATGTAGATATCACCTTCACAACTTGTGCAAGCTTCATGAGCCCATCCGTTACAAATGACACATTTCACCCATACCTCTCTGCTTTTACTCATCGTGAACATCTCTTGACAAAAAATACATTCCGTCGTGTCATCAGCACATTGCTTGGGACTAATATAGGATGACAGGGGGAAATCATCTTCATCAGAGGAGTTTGCGGGAACGGGTTCTGAAGAAGATGTTAATGATGAAGATGATGTTGATGGTGAACGTGCTTTTCGCTTTTTCCTCGCAGATTGTTTAAGAGAACTTGGTCCTGCTTCATTGACTAGTCTCTTAGTAACTTTCTCACGTGAACGATTAATAGATTCCTCTAACTCCTCTTTATTCGGAGTTGAGGTTACTACCCTTGCACGACCAGGTTTTCTTCCTCCCGAGCCTATTTTTTTTTCAGTTGTGGTATTGGTGCGATATCCTTGGGGAGAATGTTTGGTGAATGACATAGCGCTGGTTCATTATTTTCTGGAAAATCTGCTGTGACAGAATGGGGCACATGATGTCTTTGCTGTTCGGCTAAGAAGTCTTCATCGGAGAAAACATCTCGTCGAAAGGGGTAAATGCCAGTTGTACTGAATCCCTTTATTGACCTCTCCGCAGTCTCAATTTTTGTATAGGCTCTTCCAAATAACTCGCCCATATCAAAATGTGTTACGGCTCTATTATGTGCCCGCATAAATAGCCTTATTTCCTCACTGTAGAAAGTTTTCAGGGCACCCATGACTGTTTTATCCAGAGGCTGCATCTTATGCGATGTATGAGGAGGCAAACATAATATTGTTAAAAAATTTTCTCGGGCTTTTATGAATACGTCAGTATTTCGAGTGTGAGAGTGATGTCCATCTAAAATAAGGAGTACTGGACTGTCTTTGGTGGGGTTTGTCCTTTTCAAAAAATGGTCAAACCATTTAGTGAAGAGCTCAGTCTGAATCCATCCCGAGGGGTGAAATGCAAACAAAGTGCCCGGAGGAGCTCCTTTCTTAAGCTGCTCACTTGAATTTTTGCGAGGGAAAATAATCGTGGGTGGCACGAACCCTCCTGCTGCATTCATACATAAAACTGCAGTCACTAAGGAGCCTCGCTCGGCCGACGTTAGTACACCTACTTGTCGTTTGCCTCTTTTTGAGACAACTTCGGGACATTTGGATTGTACAATACATAAGCCCGTCTCATCAACATTGTAAATCCTCACAATGAAAGTTGTTTTCTGTCATAAGTTTCTCAAGCAGGTTAAAAAACTCATTGACGTCTTCCTTATTAAAACCGAGAGCTCTATTTAGAGAAGTGCCAGTTGTTTTTCGAATGCTCAAAGAAGCTTTGTGCCTTTTCATAAAACCATACAACCAGTCTTTTCCGGTTGATTCCCGTAAAAATGAAAATGGATGTGGAAGGCTGTTGCGTGGATCCAGCTGAAAAGCCATGGATCGCAAATCTTTTCTGGTTAATCCATAATACATTTGATCCATGATCAACAAATACTTCACTAGTTCTGTTTAAAATTCCGGTGGCAAAGCTGTTTTTCGGCCTAATGTAGTACTGCAAACAGTATCAGGAGAACCTTCTTTATTGCACAAGCGATAAAGTGTTGCTCGTGGAACGTTATAACGTTTTGCTGTTACTAACCTGTTACTTCTAACATCTTGCTTTGCGCATATCATCAGACTGCCATTGCTTTCTTTTTCTTGCCGACTTAGTTTCTGCAAAAAAAACTTGTTTCATACGCAAAACGACCCAATTTTTGCTGATAATTAGGCTTTTTGCTCTTCACAAATATCGTTAAATCTCAAAACAAAAACATCGGGAAATATGGGATACCTAGAAGCAGTATAATATGGAATATTTCATATTACCCGAAACAGCAACTGAGGAAAAAAATACACGTTGCAAATATGTTTTAAGAAAAAAATATGGTAACAGCCCTCTAAAACAGTAACTTAACATTTGAATAGACTCACCTGTCAAAATGAGCAAGATTTGTAAATAAATAACACCTTTACAAAAATTCTAATGACTATCGTGCACAACTTTGTAACCACAAATAATGCTCATTTGCGGTTTATAAACTAGAGAACGGCAACCAGCGAAACCTGTCGACGCTATTGTGTATTTAGGGTGTAATAGAGGCTAGCTTAGGTATTGAAATACAGATGTCGCTACCTACATAAAAATAAGAAGCTATTCCATATTACCCGTACTATTCCATATTACCCGAAATTACTCTACCTAACAGAGTTTAGAAGCCTGAGAAGAAGGGAAATAAATCGAGCAGCCGGCAAAATCACGGACAGCATTTTGAGTATTGCTTTGGTTTATCTCTGCTTATTTATGATTATTGTTGTTACTACCATCAATTAAATTTTCATTTTGTGTTGAGGTTTTACTATACCTCTTTATTTCCTTATAAATCTCATCCAACAACAAATTCATGGCCAACTAAGGAAATACATTACTGATTTGTGACCATTCAAATGTACAAAATTCGGATGAAAAAATAAAGTTGGCAATGGAAGTCGAAGCAAGAAATCTCGTGTCAAAAATTTGACTACGTCATCTTGTACGTGAGGATAAGTAACAATGACAAGTAGCGTTTTATTCTGAAATCCCATCTCAAATGAAGTCAGGAAAAAACAAACGATTCTTGAATATATCTGGTATGCGAAACAAATGACTACCCGACAATTTCAAGGCCCACGTAGGAAATTCTGCTTTTGTTAAATAAACTATATCGATGTATCACGTATTATCAGGTTTTGGAATCAGAACATCTGTGTAAAAATCCAATAAAGATAAAGTTAATGCCGGAGGGCAAGAGACGTAACATCATATTGAAATTCCATTCATACCATCTTATAGTGGAGAAAAAGTGGCAGCATTGATGTGTAATTCATTTTGAAATCCCAGTACAAATGAAGTTAGAAAAGACTAAAACTATTTTGGGAATATTCGGTATTTCCTTCTCTGTTTGGAAGTACCTTGGGTTTCAAAACTTTCTAAGCAGCATTTTGTTAATTGCCTAAATACACAACTTTGCCCCCAATTAAGCGACTTCGTATATCTTGCAGTTTTGGAGATCCCAATAGAGAGGGTCGAATTTGAAACTCTCGGTATACGTAAAGATGATTTTCTTCAAGAGAAATGGCTTCTCCGCATGAATCCGGCTGAGTTTCACGACTTCTGGTGAAATACAAATACTTTTTCCAGTAGTAACCTGAGAAATCGCACCTCTACATATTGGGTCAACATATTGAAACCAACATTGGCCCCAACATGTAATGGATAAAAAATAGCGTAGTGAAGTAGACTCACTTTATACTTCCTAAGACTTCGTTGGAGGCTTCAAAGAAAAGGGATGAGTAAAATCGTTTTAAAATGCGAAATCGAATATAGGGTTCCATCGAAAATGGAAAGTAGTTTTATGAGACATGTTACTAGGGCATATTTTAAAATTATTTCAATATATCGATACAGGGTGTTCCATAGCTTCGTGTCATAGCAAACACATATTTTTTTAAACAAAACACCTCCGACATATTAGAATGGAGCTTTTAAAAATAAGTTTAATAGCGTTTGTTTTCGGTTGTCAATTTTTAGGTATTTGGATAAACGTCTGAAAAAATGCCCATTTTTGATGGGTCACAGCTCCGCCACTTCTAAAGATATTTAGATAAATCTTAGTTCACAAAAATGTTATCGTCCATTTTAAGCAGATCTGGAAAGAGTGCTGAAACTTATTTCTATTTATACAGAGTATCACAAAAACAAAAAATGTATCTTTTCTCAAAATTTTAACACCCTTTATATTTCTAAATCGTTAAATAGTTTTTTGGTATTTTTTTTAACCTTTTTTTCTATTTATTTCAAGAATACATAAAAAGCGAGATTGACTCACTTTCGGTACAACTAAACGATAAACTTAATCAGAAAATTTCTGAAATTGAAGAGAAGTATAATGAACTGAAAATCCAGTATGAAAAACTGCAAAAAGAGCTTAAAAAGAACAACTTGATAGTGTTTGGTTTGAATGCTCCAAGAGATTGTAACTTGATTAGCTTTGTTATTGGCAAAATCAACAGCCTACTCGAGCTATCGTTGGTTCCCAGCGATATCAACGATGTTTATACCATAGGGAAGCAAACCAGTAACAAACCCATAATCCTGAAACTTGTGTCATACCTAAAGAAAAAAGAAATCCTTAGGAACTGCAAAAAATTAAAAGGTACAAACATCGCTATTGGTGTTGAACTCACTCCTGAAGAGCAAAAGGAACAAAAAATTTTGCGTCAGCAACTCAAGAAAGCAAGGAAACAAAATCAAAATGCATTTATAAAAAACAGAAAGCTAGTCGTGAATGGTACAGAATTTACAGCCCACGAACTGATTGCTGATGAAGAAAGTTCAGACGAGGAAGAAGAAATTGAAACAGGTCTTCAAGAAGGGTTCACTGTAGGTCAGAAAGCTGGTGCAGATATTAATACACCACATGAAGTTGCTGAAGATCAAGCTAAAGGTAAGGAGGAACAAGATGTCTTTATAACAGAAATAGTTAAGAGTACAAGCAAAAGGAAGATAACTCAAAGTGCAGAGCCAGCCGCTAAGCAGTTAAGACCTAGGATCAACAGTAATCCTACATCGAGCAAAAATAAAGACTCCGAACAAAACTGAGAGTGTATGGATGAAATCGAATCGAGTGTTTTTGGTGGTGCTGTGTGGATTTTTTTTTAATCTCCTATAATATTTATCATTTCCTTGTACGCCATATTACTTTTTAACTCTTTTTAGTACATTATATTGTGTTATTTTGAAATTGTTCAACGTAATGTCTCTCATCTTTTGTCATCTAAACATCAGGTCCCTCACAGCCAAATACGCTTATTTTAAAGATGCATTTTTCAACAAGTATGATATCATAACACTATCGGAAACCTGGTTAAATAACAAAATTCCTGATGATATCATCAGTCTCGAAGGGTATACACTGTATAGAGGTGATCGTCACCACAGGAGAGGTGGAGGTATAGCTTTATATGTCAAAAATCACCTTAAAAGCAAAGTTATAAATAATATTGAGTATCATGATACTGAGCAACTATGGATCACCGTAAGCTTTAACCAGAAAAATTTTGCTGTAGGATCTTTATACCGACCCCCAGATTACCCCGTGAACCAATTTATAGATAATTTGGAAGTAACGTTGTCCACACTTGCTCCTAATCATGATTATATCTTATGTGCAGGAGACCTAAACATCGACCTTTTGGATGACAATTTTTGTAGTAGACAGCTACTAAACCTGGTAGACGTTTTGAATTTGAAGCAGATAGTTGAACAACCCACTAGATGTACACCTAAGTCCTCAAAGTTGCTAGATGTTATTATCTGCACAGATGAACTAAACATCTCGGCTATCGATGCATTAGACTGCTCTATGATATCTGATCATGCCCTAGTTTCATGTGAGGTTACACTTTCAAAGAATACTTTTGTACCTTTTCTTTACACATATAGAGACTTTAAACATTTTAATTATGAGCTTTTTACAAATCACCTGAATAATGTTGACATGAGTCCAATATATCTGCTTAAGGATATAGATGTGAAAGTGAATTATCTGAATGAACTACTGTTAAATATTTTTGATTTCCATGCTCCTATCAGAACAGTCCGCATATCTAGAAAAAGGTCACCTTGGCTTACCTATAATTTGAAACAAATGATGAAACTAAGAGATAAGGCACTAAGAAAGTATCATCGTACAAAGAATCACAATGATTGGTTAGGCTATAATACACTAAAGAACAAAATTAACCACGCGATTAACAAAGAAAAGCAAGTATATTTTGAGCAACAAGTTGCATTAAATAAAAACCGCATGTGGAAAGAACTCGGAAAATTGAATATAGTTAATAAAAAACAGAATTCACTACCTCAACACCTAGGAACTGCAAACCAAATCAACAACTTCTTCATGCAATCCATCTCGGGTGATAATAATGAACCTGATCAGTACACTCTTCGATTCTTCTCCGATACGCAACTCCCTCATGAAGCATTTGAGTTTTCGTACACTAATGACAATGAAGTATATCAAAAATTGCTTTCAGTGAAATCAACAGCCGTTGGTGCCGACGGTATAAGTATCAGCATGCTGCTGTACAGCTGCCCTACAATTTTACCATATCTCACGCATATTTTTAATTACTGTCTAAAATTCAATGTAATACCCAAAATTTGGAAGCTTGCACAAGTAATTCCCATACCAAAAAAGAGCAACCCTGAAGATGTGGGCGACCTTCGACCCATCAGCATCCTATGTACTCCATCAAAGGTCTTTGAAATGATTTTGGATGCTAGAATGAGGGACTTTGTTGCTAAAAATGACATTCTTCCAGAAAACTAATCAGGGTTCAGATCAGGTCACAGCTGCACAACAGCCTTGCTCAAAGTAACAGATGATATCCGCAAATACATTGATGATGGCAACCTATGCATCTTAATCTTATTAGATTTTTCGAAGGCTTTTGATAAGCTAAACCATGATCTACTGATTGCTGTTCTTCACTACTTGGGTTTTTCTAAAAGTGCGGTTCATTTATTAAGAAATTATCTCAAAGATCGGGCACAAGTTGTCAAATGCTTTGGTGAAACATCCGAATTGTCTAAAGTTTGTCGGTAGGTGTACCTCAAGGATCTGTTGTAGGTCCACTCTTGTACACTCTGTATACCTCTCAGCTGCACAAAAGTTTTAAACACGTCTCATATCACTATTACGCCGATGACACTCAATTATATATTGCTTTTAATGAATCAGATATAAACCGAACTTTAAGTAACATAAATGAGGACCTTCAGGTTCTTTATCAGCTAACAAAAAAATATTGTCTCTCCGTCAACGCCACTAAATCTAAGGCTCTACTATTTGGTAAAAACAAGAATCGTGAACTATACTCCAATAATTTAGACATTTATTTCGGACAAGACAAAATAACTTTTACAAACTCCGCTAAAAATTTAGGGGTTATTATGGATACAGATCTACGCTTTTCCCAGCATGTCTCTCTTATAACCAAAAGGGCATTTTCATCATTGTAACTGCTATACAATAGCAGAAGCATAATAACCAAGACAACAAAAATAATATTGTGCGAGTCTTTAGTTCTTTCTCACCTCAGCTATGCAGACTGCGCGTACGGCCCGTCATTGCTACATCGAGATAAGGCGCGCCTTCAGCGTATTCAAAATTCTTGTGTCAGGTTTGTTAGTGGTATTAGAAGGCGGCAGCCGATATCTCTTCATTTAAAGAACTTAGATTGGCTCAATATAGAGAAAAGAAGGTTCCTTCATCGATCCGTACTATACCACAAGATACTCAATACTGAATCACCATCCTATCTTTACAAGAAGATCAAGACCCGTACAGAAGTGCATAGTCGTAACACGAGGTTTAAACATCATCTCTCACTACCTAAATTTAAAACTTCAAATTATAAGTGCTCTTTTTCATATGACATTGTTAAGGTTTACAACTCGCTGCCTGATAGAATTAAAGCCCTATCAATTTTGAGATTTAAGCGAGAAGTGAAGACTATGTTGAGACTTGAGATGACTTAAATTTAACACTGCACGCTGATTTGCCTATTATTCTTCTGTATGTCTTTTTCGTACTATTCGTCATTTATTTGTCTGGGCGGTCCGTAGGACCTTTGCCCATTACTCGCTGTCTGATGTACGTTATTCGAATCTGTCAGTCCTGGTTGCCCAGAAACCAGACAAAGTCAAGGAGTCTTTTTCGTTTGATCTTTGACATTTTCCCTTCATAAGATATTAGCTACAACTTCTAGCAATCTCATTCAAGCATCAACTCGTTTTATATTATAGGTTTTACCAAGGTGCCTGCAACAGTTATATGTCATCTATGGATGTATAATATAATATATAGTTTTAAAACATAATATGTCTATATGTATCTGTGTTAACGTTCAAATTTTCTCTTGCTGTTATTATTATTACTGATATACTACTTTATTTATTTACTTTTTTTTTTTGGTTAGGTGGAAGAGCGCGGATTGACAACTAATGGTTGTCAATCAAGCGAACCTTGCCGTTTGCTCACTGCATTAAATTTATGTACTTTTTCTTTTTCTGTACTTACATGAGCAATAAAAGCAATTTATTATTATTATTATTATTATTATTATTATTATTATTATTAAAAAACAAATACATCTTGTATTTAACCGTGACACCAAATCTTCTATCAAAGCAATAGCTTTTATTAACACAACAAAAATAATCGAAGCCTAATACAATCAATTGTTCATAAATTGTTTGAATATAATACCTTGGTGGAAAGCACAGAAGGCCAGATGCCTGTTGAAATTATCTTGCATGTCTAAAAGGGTTAGTCTGGGTATCTGCTCAAACGACTCGCTTATGTGATGTTTCATGTCCTCGGATGTTGTCGTTTTTCCTAGCAAACCTCTCCTTTTACATGGCCCCTGAGAAGGAAGCCGAGAAGCGTCAGATCAGAGGTTCTCGCTGGCCAATTGATTGATCTGCCTCTCCTTGTTCAAATATTAGAGCGCCAATGGTCTAGATACGGTTCTGATATCCAACAGGTTTTATTAAACATCACATATATATGGTCTTTTGGATTAAATACAGGAAGTCAGGAAGTCGTGTCACCCAAGTTGCTGAAACAACGTGGTTGTAAAAAAATACTGGACCTGAGATCAAACATTTGGGAATCAACAGAACCACTTGAATTTATTACACAAATTTCACAATAAATCACTGTCTTGGGCTAAGATGGGTCTTGTGGAGCGAAAAAAAATCATTGTTTTCATGGAAGATCTGATTTTAGGTCTAAATGTGGAATATATATGTTTTTTCATTTTCTTGTAATTAAAAGCAGTAGCTCAAAGACACCAAATATATAATATATATAAATAACATATATAATTCGCAATAATCCGCAGAGGGACAGTGGATTCGAGCAGAAAATAGGATAGGTAGCCCGAGCAATACGTTTTTCTGCTAGATGGCTTCATGAGGTTCGAAATAAATGCACATATACAACCACCAAGGTAGATAGACATGCCCATACATACGGATATGGGTGTAACCCGAGGAAATGAAGATGAGGAGGAAAAAAATGACACTCGAAGTCCACAAGAAGAGCCAACCTACACGTTGTAGTATAAAATGGCTAGAAGACCTCAAATTTCAAGGCGACTTCTTACCACAACCACGCGGCCGTGGAACTTCAAGCCCAAAGGATCTGCAAAGGAGTAATGATCATGCGGAGAAAGGTATATAACAGAAAATAGGAATATAATGGGCAAAATCCGCAAAAAGCGAAAGTGGACTCGAGCAGAAAATGGAATAGGTAACCCCAGCAATACGGATTTCTGCTTGTTGGCTTCATCAGGCCCGAAATGAATGTAGATATGCAATCACCAAGCTATAAACATATGCCCATAGCTACAAATACGGGTGTAACCTGAGGAGATGAAGATGGAGAGGGAAAAAATGACACACGAAGTACCCAACAAGAGCCAACCTACACATTGTGGTATGAAATGGCTAGAAGACCTCGAATTTTCAAGGCGACACCTAACTTCAACCAGGCGGCCAGTTGTAGCCACTTGCTGTGGTACTTGAAGCCCAAAGGATCTACAAAGAGAAACTGATGATGCGGAGAAAGGTATATAACAAAAATTAGGAAAATGGTGGGCAAAATCCGCAAAAAGGAGAAAAGTGGATTCGAGCAGGAAATAGGATAGGTAACCCGAGCGATACGTACTTCTGCTGGTTGGCTTCATCAGGTACGAAACGAATGCACATATGAAACTACAAAAGTAGGTACACATGTCCACACATCCGTATACGGGTTTACCCTGAGGAAACGAAGATGCAGAGGCAAACGTATTGCTCGTGTTATCTATAATTTTTTTTGTTCGAATCCACTTTCCCTCTTATTGCGGATTCTGCTCAGCATTTTCCTGTCTTTTGTTATATACCTTCCTCCGCATGATCATATTCTTTCTTTCTTTCTTTCTCTCTCTCTATATATATTCATATATAAACGCCATAAAAGCTATTTAATGGCGTTGAAACAAACACGGTTTTCCGGGAGAAATTTATTAGAAATAGCACATTTTGTGTTTTGAGATACCACGTATAAATAAAAAATATTTTAGCATTTCTTTCAGATATGCTCAAAATCTGTGATAATAAAAATTTTGTGAAATAAAATTTATCTAAATATCTTCCAAAATTGAGGCGCTATGAGCCGTCAAAGTTGGTCATTTTTTCAGACTTTACAGTAAATGACATTCGAAACCACATGTTACATGATATCAAACTTCTTACTTTAAGAAGCTTTATCCAAATACGCAATAAAATATAGGGTATTCCATTAAAAAAAATACATGTTTGCTGTGTCACAAAGTATGTAAACCCCAGATACACCCTTTACAAAAACAATCTTTAAATATACACTAGTAACATATCAAGGTTGCCAGAAATATATATTTTCGATATATTATCCAGTTTAGGTAATATAGGTTGAGGTAAATCGGTGAGAATTTGCAGAGTATATTTTACTGTTTTGCTGAACTGCGTGTCATGTGTATTTTCTAAGCATCGTATTCATATAGTCACGATAATAGTTGTCATAAGAGAAAAACAGTCTGATGAATGTTTATCGGTAGTCAAGATAAAGTTAGACGTAACTTAGAGTCAAACATCTACAGAGATGTGACGCCTCCAGATCCCGCAAGCTGTTATGACACTTATAGAGCCGAGTTTCCATCGAGGATAATTACTGCTCAGTGCCGTCTGTTAGAGGATATGCCATCTTGGGTATTTCGATGCCAGGCGTGACCTCCACGCAATAGAAAGCTACTGTTCCCTCGTGCGAGGTATTCCCATAGCAGGCGTGAGTGGCTTGTGGTATGAAGCTACCCTGGTTATGGACATGGGTGTGACTTCCATGCGGTAGGATGCTATCGTTCCTCAATGCAATATGGAAAGTGTTCAAAAGGTTTTCCCCAAAAATATTATTGGCTTTGAAATTATCCTGACATTCCTCGATGATTTGCTTATGTACTACTCCACTAGCCTCGTA